GGGAGAGGCTGTTCCGCTGCAGCCCTTTCTCGGGCATTGCAGGCAGCGCTGCGTGTGCCCGTGAAAGGCGGCGTCCACCAAGGGCAGGGTGCTCGCCGCACGCCCCGGTGGGCAGGCTCACCTCTTTATATTTGTGTCCTTTGCCTGCCATGACCTTCCCATTTACTTTCCCCTCTGGATAGGATTTTTTTTTTTTTTTTTTTTGCAACAAGAGGCCCCAAAGTGTTTTTTTCATATTATCTGAACATTCAAAGACAAATTAGTTCTAAATTTGTGCCAAAGTTAAGATCTAAAAGCTTACAGATGTCTTTAGAAACTAAAATCCTTACTCAAATAAATAAAATATATATGTGTGTGTGTGTATACATATGCACACACATATGTACTATATATAAATGAAATTTTATGTATGTTTTATATATGTTCATGCGTACACGTGTGTGTGCGTGTATGTTTTCACTGAATGTATTTGCCTCAGACTCTTTGGAACATTAAAATTATATCCTTATTTATAGTGAAGGTGATTGTTTGTGCACCAGAAGTTTTAAATGTTAGCTTGACCCTGACTTTGGAGGATCTGTTTCTTTTTATGTTTAGTATTTTTGTACTGATGCTGGGCTGCTATTTCCGGATGACATCAGGCTGCGGCCTGCATTCGTTGAGTGCTGCTGTCTTCAAAATGAATGAAAAACTGGCCTTTGGCTTTAAATCTGTTTTTTGGAATCTCTTGCCTGTGTCTGTACACATTTGAACGCTTCTGTTGTAGAAATATAGGATTTTCTTTTCCTTTTGAAGAAGATTAAAACTACTGAATAATAGTAAACATTATGTTCTCAATGACTCCTGCAATATCGATTGAGCTTAATACATGAGAAGCTGCTTTATATAATTTGAAATGAAACTTCAAAGCAAAAAAAGAGTTACAAAAATCTGAAGCATCCATGAATTAGGAAAAAACTTGGCTTCACAATCCATATAATTATTTGAATAGATATTCCTAATTTCATGTTGGTGTGAGGAGACTGAAAATCCAGAATTCTATCAAGGCCCCTCTTCCTTCTAGCTCTGTGGTTTTGCACTGGCTTTTTGTCCTGTGAGAGGAGTACACTGTAGGCCAGGACAGTCTTTTGCACTCATTTAGATTCCCAAATCTTCAGGGAGCAGTTGTTTTTATCTGGGCTGTTTTGCTGTTGGGGAACCAGTGTACATGCGGTCATTGAACTTCTGTTCCCACACACGATTGTTTGGTGTTCAGGAAAAAACACAGAAGGAAGCATTGCAGCTGAGGAAGAAAGAACCCCTAAAGTAAATATCCAGGGTTCTTCTGGGGTTCATCCGGGGTCAGGTTGCTTCCTGGATCGGGGGAGACCAGAATGGAATCAGGAAGAGGCTCTGACTTCACAGAGAGGATGGTGGCTGGAACCAGAGGCGGGAGGCCTTTCTGTTTACATCAGACTCTTCTTGATTGCTCCTGTGGCCCTCGGGGAAGGGAAGGCGGGCAGTTCCTGGAATCTGATTGAGTTCATTCACCCTAATGTGCAAAAGCCTGGGAACCCCAACGTCCCTAGGGCATTTTCTTTTTTAAAAGAGGACACGTACCTATAGAATTCTAATTCTTGAAATCTGGTATTCAATTAGTACAAAAGAATGAAATGGAAAAACCTATCCCGGCTGATAATGGAGAAAAGTCGGGAAGGAGCTGTTAGTAGCTGAGCCTTCTTGGCATCTTCTCAGGGGTCACCCCAAAGTTATCCTTCTTACCATAACTTCTCTTTTTCAACAACAACAGCAAAATTTTAATGTGGCCTGGAAGTGGGAACAAGTTTAGGCTCTTAGGGTTGCAGCTGTATTGTTTGGGTTTATTTGGGCCAGATTTCAAGTGAAATACTTAGTGCAGGAACATTAGAGAAAATGGAAAAATTAATCAAGGAAAGGCTCTAAATAAATCTTAATAAAAGTTTAAGTACAAATTGCAACAGTGTGCATCTTTCTTGAAAGGTCAGGAGAGCTGGTTCCTCCTCCCAGCTTTTCTGCTAAATGTGAACTTAGTCAAGCCTCCTGACCCAAGTGGATCTGAGTTTTCTCATATGGGAAATGGTGCCTGCATTTTATTCAGCACCGAGATTATAATAGAACTTTTATGTGGAATACCTGGGTTGATGGAGTCTCTGCCTGAGAGTGGACAAAGAATATGAAAGAGAATATTAATCCAGAAGGTTTGACTACCTGTTACTTCTAAGAAATACAATGATGGGAAGTTACCTATACTCTGGTCTATTTTGGGGTTCTCTGGGATCTCACCGTTCTGTACTCTTTCTGTCCATTACTGCCACATATAATTCAGAGTTAAACATTTAAAATATAAATTGAATTCTCAGATTGGAAAATAGAATACATAGTGACATCTACCTTTTTGTGTTTACCTCTAGTACCTAATATAGTAAGAACTATGTACATAAGATTAATCTTGAGAGTTCCAGATTTTCTATTCATTATATGTATTTTTATACCATTGAGTTGGTGATGGATTTTTAGAAAGTTAAATATGGTGTTAGGCCTTAGGAATCTCGTCTCTTATGAAGAAGACAAGTGCAGATCAAGGCTGATTTGATATGCTCTCCCATGAGATTAATACAGGCTGTAGAGCAGCAGGACTCCGGAGGCCAGGGGTCAATGCTGATGAACTAGAGAACTGTCTTAGAGCAGTGAGGGCCAGTTCGGGCCAGTCAGTGAAATGCTTTGAATTTTCTCTCAATGACAGCTGCACCTTGTCATCCAGAAGCAGGCGCTGGTTCATGGCTGGGTGCTGGTTGCTGCAGTGTGATTGGAGGGAGAGACCGGGCTGAGGCTGTTCAGAGCAGCGTGCTCGGGCAGGACCCCTCAGGAAAGGAGTAGAGAAGACTGCAGAGAAGGCAGCTAGCAAATGACATGCTGTTCTTCCAAAAGTGACCAGGCTTCTGCATGTCTCTCAATGGCCCTTGGTTGTTGACAGTGAGTGGGACATTAACGGTGACTATTAAATCAAAGGAAGTATTCAGGACAGTGATCCTTTCTGCCTCTATCATCATATACTAATTAATTGGGATTTAAGGTTGTTCCTGAAACTGTATATCTATCCGTATATTTTTTCTCAGTACAGTGATTTTGATTCAAAAGCAGTGTCTCAGAGTCCTACTCACTTGTCACCTAGATGAAATTAGGAAAGTTGCTTACCTTCGATGGGCCTGATTTTTTTTTTTGGTGGGGGGGGGCTGATATTCTTGATCTATAGAATTTCAGTGCTGAAGATGATAAGAGTGGCCTTGCTGGGTGCCATGAAGGTCCCTGGGGTGTGGGAAGCTCTATGAGCCTGTGCTATATAGAGCTGTGTCAGTCATTAAGGCTCAGTTAACCAGCTCACTTCCCCGTGTTTGTGTTTACTATTTCAGTGGTTCCCTGTCAGATAAGCGATTTCTGTTTACCTCCAACGGTAAGGACCATGCTTTTTTTAAGAATCTGATATTTTTAAATCTTCGTGGTAGTTTATTCTTTCATATCCCTCAGATGATATAGTTTAAAGGATTTCCCTCCACCCCACTCAGATCACACATCACCAAGTATGCTGTGACTTAAAAATACACAAGACAGTAGGCCCTAATTAATATTAACGTTAAGCAAGAAATATTTTCCTTTATAATCTTAAGCTTTCTCGAACATTTGCCAAAAAGAATGAAAGTTGAAATGACATTTAAGATAAATTCCTTTATGTTTTAAGGAGACAGTACGGTGTCTTCCTTGTCCAGGAAGAGGAGTGTGGCATTTATTTGGTCCCTCCACATTGCCTCAGACATGGTCTAGTGACCGTCCTAAGCGTGGATGTCGGGTACGAGGTACTGATCTTCAGAGCACCTCATGTACCTGCTCTTCAAAGTACAGGGAGTGGAGGCCCCCTCTGATCAAGGGCGAAGCACCTCAGCGTTTGAGCCTTTAAGACACCTTGCACTTTGCTAAAGTCAGGGTGAATTTAGGTTAGAAACAGAAATCTACACTGGGGACAGAGAGATGTCACTTATAGGGAATGTGACTTCCATGAGGTCCATTAAAAAAAAGCAGCAACCATTTCAAGATACTGCAGTACAAATGAGTCAAATGCAAGTCTGAGTCATTCAAACACTGGTAATTAAACAGTTGATTTGCTATCACAATGGAAGTAAAACAACTGTTTCTAGGTGAGATGGGCTGCAATTACATTTTTGCTTTCATTTTGTTTTGTATCTGAAATATCTTAGTTCCCTTTTCTCCTAGGTTGCAGCACATCCTTGAGTTTGGAAACTGACGGGCAAATCAGAGATTCTTCTTCCTGGCAGTGGGTGGATGAGTTTGGAGAACGAGTTCATTGGTCTCCTGGCCAAACCCGGCTTCAGGACCAAGGCCTGTCATGGGCATCGGGGGACAGCAGCAAGAACCACAAGCAACGAGAGTGGCTGGAGATAGATTTGGGAGAGGAAAAGAAAATAACAGGTATTGACCCAGGTGCAGTTTCACAAATGCAAAATGACTTGCGGTTGAAGTTGTTTCTGATTCATGTAGATGCATCAAAGTCCGCTACACCTTCGTCTTCACCGGGTCTCTGGGGTTGTAAATATGAGTGTGTGGATTAGAGCTGATGCTGCAATGCTGAACCTTTTTATGGCATCTCTCAGTGTGAAAACACTCACCTGTGATCAGGTTTCTCAGAAAAGCTGGCCTGTGAAATGATTTGAGATTTCACATGAGGGGAGAAAAAAATAAACCTGAAGTTAAAACATATGCTATATCTAACATATCTTAAAAACTAACCTATAAATAATATTTTCTTACAAGGAATTAGGACCACAGAATCCACACAGCCAAATTTCAACTTCTATGTTAAGAGTTTTGTGATGAACTTCAAAAATAACAACTCCAAGTGGAGGACCTACAAAGGAATTGTGAATAACGAAAAAAAGGTAAGAGAAACTCTGGAGGAAAGAACAGAGCAGGAGAGCAGGGCTCCAGATAGTTTATTGCCCTGTTTCCAGAAAACAGATTCGCAGCACCACGTTAGCTAGGTAGCTTGGCCTTTCTTTGCAAAATCTTGTATCTTTGATATCAAGAGTGTCTAAAAAAAAAAAAAGCAACAGACATAGAATCCTGGCTTTGGTTTCATGTAACCCAGTAAGAATGGGTCAATAAAGACCTAAAAACTAACTAAAAGAATCTTCAGGTAAAAGTTACCTGTTTCCACAGGTGTTTCGGGGCAACTTCAATTTTCGGGATCCTGTGATGAATAATTTCATCCCTCCCATCGTGGCCAGATACGTGCGGGTCGTCCCCCAAACGTGGCCCCAGAGGATCGCCTTGAAAGTGGAGCTCATTGGTTGCCAGATTACACAAGGTAGGAGTCAGGGGGAGTCAGGGAGTAATTCAGTTCTGGTCATCTCCTGTCACAAATTGCTGTTACTAATGTGGGTTTTCCGATATCCCTTCTGTTTCAGGTAACGATTCATTGGTGTGGCGCCAAAGCAATTCACGTTCTGTTGTTTCCACTGAAAGAGAAGATGAGACGATCACAAAACTCATCCCTTCTCAGGAAATGCCCACAGGTAGAGCACTTGTTTTGTGATTTCCTCAGGAGTTTAACTGGTACTCCAACCAGTATTACAGTGCCTTCAACAAAATTCTTTTTCTTTGTATGTGTCTGGAAGCAGATGTTTCAGAGGCATCTGCACATGGGTAAATGATGTACGTTTACAACCATTATTGCAGTATTGTAAGTAGAAAAGATAGGGCTTGCCCTTCAAACACTAGGTAAATATTTTATGGAAAAATAATAGCACATCCATGAATGGTATACTCTTCAGCCATGACAAAGAGTGTGTTAGTAATCTAGAAGGCTCTCTGAGATAAATTGACAAGTTAAATAAATAAGCAAGGTAGAGAACAGTCTATAGAGCATGCTAATATGTGTGTAAAAAAGGAAAAATAAAGATATATGTATTCATTATTTCTGGAACAATGTCAGGAAACATAATTTGGCTTTCCGTGGAGGAGAAACAGAGGTAGGAGATAGCCATTGCACTCCATACCTTTATATACTTTTTGAATTCTGAACGTGTAAGTGTATATAATTTATTCAAGTAATGAACAGTAAAAGTACATTTGTTTTTCAGAATATAAGATAATTTGCATATTAATTTTATAAAATTTGGGAGGATTAGAGAAATAAAAATAATACAAATATAAATTTTATATATCAGCATACATAGATACTCACCAAATTCTAGTGCATCCCATCAATTATATTTATAACTTTGAGACAAAATGATAGCACAGCATAGATTCTGTTCTGTAGCATATATTTTTCATTTAACATTATATTATGAGCATTTTTCAATGTTATTAAATAGTTGAAAAATATAATTATTAATATCTTGATAGTATTTTTCATATGAAAATACCATTATTTAGTGAACTATTCTCCTATTGTTTAAGTTGTTAAGTTTCCCCCAAGTTTCCACTTTTATAAATAACACCAGCACGGATATTCACATAAATCTTGTTCCTTTCTAAGTTCCTTATCCTAACTTTCACGAGCTACACTTTCCCACTCCTGGTTGTCTCTATGTTTTCTTCCCGGGGATCACAAATAAAGCAGGGTGGAGAATATATATTTGTCTTTTAGTTTATATTCATTTCTACAAGCTCGGGGCCTGCTGTAGTGCCTGGTAAATGACCTCCTTTTTTACAGCAGAAAGAGCTGTAGGAAGACATGGTGTGTTGTTGCACGCAGCAGGGTGGAAGTGCTGCTTGAGGTCATCAGGCTGTGTTTCCTTTCAGGCCACAGCTCCAAAGCTCTGGTAATGAGAAGCCCAGGGTCCCCAGGCTTCTGTTATTGTCCAGGTCCAAACCCGCCCCGTCGGGGAACTGGCTGCGTGAGCCAAGAGAAGACCTCCACGCAGCTGAAATTCTTTACCTGTCTGAATAGCTCCTGCCTGGGTGGGACAGCTGTAAACCTTCCCCTCAGTTCTCACTTTTGGAGTCTGATGTGGTCTCAACGAGCTCAGATAATCCCTGAAGAACATTGAAAACTGCTGTTTGGAATGAAATCTTGCCACCTGTGACAGCATGAACAGACCTAGAGGGTATTATGCTAAGTGACCTAAGTCAGACACCGAGAGACAAGGACCACATGATTTCACTTATATGTGGAGTCTTAAAAAAACAAAATAAGTGAACAAACAAAACAGAAACAGACTCATAGATACAGGGAGCATGTTGATGGTTGCCAGATGGGAGGGGAATTGGGGGATGGGTGAAAAAGGGGAGGGGATTAAGGTGTGCAAATTGCCAGTTATAAAAACAGTCACAGGGATGCAAAGTACAGCATAGAGAATATAGTCAATAGTATTGTAGTAACTAGGTATGGCTTCAGATGCCTACCAGACTTGTTGGGGTGATCCCTTTGTAAGTTATATAAATGTCTAGTGGCTATGTTTTACACCCGAAACTAATATAATATTGTATGCCAACTGTAACTGAGAATTTCTTTAATTTTTTAAAATGAAAAAAGAAAACTTCCCTTAGAAGCAGGGGGCAGGGGATAAACTTTATTTTCCTAAACCTTAGCCAGAATTTTGAATTCTCTGTTTTTGCTTTCCAATGTCAGCAAAGGCCTAGCATGTATTCATTTTCCCCATGTGTTAACCCTTGATGACTTTTCAAGTCAACGTTGAGTTTGAGATCGTGAAATGTGGTTGCAGGTCGTGTCTGTTGTAATGTGCTGCTTCCACTCTTAGGAGTGAACGTCGCAGTGGTGGTTACCCCGCTGGTGCTCCTCCTTGTCCTGCTCGTTACCGGAATGGCAATCTCTGCAGTCCTCAGAAAGTATGTGACTTTACATTTTTAAATTCCATCTCCAGTTCTGTAAACAATCACAAAACCCAAAAGTTTACTCTTCAGTTGCTCATGTGTAGAAAAGCAACATTACTTCCTCCAAGATAAAACGTTAACTTGCAGTTTGCAAACGTGTTGGATAGAGGTAGAAAGTATCAAGTATTGTGTTGTAAACAATACTTATCATTTGGAAACATTTCCAGTAGGATTTTTTTTGTCTTGATAGGAAGAAGAAGAAAGGAACTCCTTATGCATCTGCTAAAGCTCGGAAAACAGGTTGGTTGAAATCTCTGCCTACAATTTTATTCTGTCTTTGAGGAAGAGACAGGATCTGCTGATTAAAAGCACCATTAGGTCTTCTAAAATAAAATGAAAATAAAGCCTATAGCCTTTAAGTTAGCAAATTTATAAGGAAGGAATATATTGTATCTTTCTAATTCAGAATTTTTAGGAGTTTACTTTTACTTTTGTTCAACATCATTCCATCATTTATCAACATTCATATATATATGTGTGTGTGTATATATATATGGCACTGGAGTTTAGGCAATACATGCCTATCATTAAGGAGAAGTTATAAAAGCCCCATCTGTGAGCTCAGCATTGTCCAGCACTCAACACCTGCAGGCTTGCATTGTATTTTCCTCTCTGGGAAGTCGGGGAAGGACTAGACAGGGCTCGTGTTTAGGCGTCAGAGAACCCTTAGGACACAGAAGGCCCGAGCAATGCATCAGCAGCAGTCCAGAGAGAGGGCAGGGGGGCAGGACCCCTGAGAATCTCCGAAACAGCTTGGGACTCCACCTCACAGGGTCTAGACGGCCAGCTGTGTTGATTCCTTGGGGTCACAGATGCTGTGGAAACCCAGGGCCAGGTGGTCTAACGGGAAATCTGGGGCCTGATGGGTACACAGGTGCATTTTGAAGGCACAGTAGAAAGCACGGCTGGGATGTGTTTGCTGTGGTTATAACCACCTCGGCCTGCTGTTTCCGCCACACACGGGAAGCACAGTGCCCGGGAATTTATCACAAGGTCAGCGGGCAGGAGGCTGCCTGACCTCAGGCTCACCGGGGTGCAGGAGGGGTGCATCGTGGGGCAGCGGAGAATGCAGGCTGTGCCTCTAAGATGTCGCTTTGTCTCCCGTTATCTTTGTTCCAGACTGTTGGAAGCAGATTAAATATCCCTTTGCCAGACACCAGTCAGCCGAGTTCACCATCAGCTATGATAACGAAAAGGAGGCGACGCGGAAGTTAGAGCTCATCCCACGGGACATGGCGGGTAAGGGCCAGGCCTCCGGTAGCCCCTGGGGGCGGTGCCCGCGGGAGAGGGGACGCCAGGAGGGAAATGCGACTGAAGTCCTGCTGCGGAGGTGGGGTGCCCGGAATCGGTAACGTGGGACGCTTGCTTTGGGCATCACACAGTGACAAGTGCACACAGGCATTTCTCAGGAGCCCCACTGGGCCGAGGCTCTTGCACCTGCAGGGCTGTGATACCCCCAAGGCAAGGGCCCTGACGTACCACTAACATCTGAATGAAGCGCTCAATCAGTCTGTTTCTCTACTGAGGTTTTGACTGAGGCACCCCATCCTAGCTAGTGCACTCCTCCGGCCCGTCTCCAAGATGTGGCCAGTTCCCTAGTGTGCACCGTCTGTTTCATTTCTCTTTGCTTGGCACTTCTCGTTTCTAATCTCCCTCCTCCGTCAGCCTCCCGTCACCTCTACCCGTGCCGCCTCTCACTTAGAGCCCTCCGGAACCGAGCCAGCCTTCCCCCGCGCCCTCGGGGCTTCCCCCGCGCCCTCGGGGCTCCTCCCGCGCCCTCCGTGCTCCTCCCGCGCCCTCGGGGCTTCTCCCGCGCCCTCGGGGCTCCTCCCGCGCCCTCCGTGCTCCTCCCGCGCCCTCGGGGCTTCTCCCGCGCCCTCGGGGCTCCTCCCGCGCCCTCCGTGCTCCTCCCGCGCCCTCGGGGCTTCTCCCGCGCCCTCGGGGCTCCTCCCGCGCCCTCCGTGCTCCTCCCGCGCCCTCGGGGCTTCTCCCGCGCCCTCGGGGCTCCTCCCGCGCCCTCCGTGCTCCTCCCGCGCCCTCGGGGCTTCTCCCGCGCCCTCGGGGCTCCTCCCGCGCCCTCCGTGCTCCTCCCGCGCCCTCGGGGCTTCTCCCGCGCCCTCGGGGCTCCTCCCGCGCCCTCCGTGCTCCTCCCGCGCCCTCGGNGGGCTCCTCCCGCGCCCTCGGGGCTCCTCCCGCTGGCCAGCAGCGGCCGGCAGCGCGCGCGGGACGTGGGCTTGAGTACGGCCCCTGGCCGCAGCTGTGGGACCTCGGAGACGTGACCTCATCTCTCCGACAGCTGTCCATTTGTAAAATGGAGTAATAGTCCCTACTTCATACTAGTTCTTTTTTCGGAGGTTTAATTAATTGGTATCTTAATATCTTAGAATGGTGCCTGTTGTGGGAAAACGGCTCCAATGTGAGTTTTATCAATATCGTTACTTCCCAACCTACTGTTTGGGTCTTTAGTTTCTCCTAAAGGACTCCCCGTCCCTCGCACTCTGGCCACATCATACTGTTTTCATGCTGTTTAATAGGTTAATTGCCCCCCCTTCCAAAGTCTGGCATTTCCCCCCCAGTTCAAGAGCTCCCTGAAGTACTTCTGCCCTGTTTCTGGTCAGGGTGACAGTAATCGCCCGTCTGGTTCGGCCCCGGCCGAGAGCCCGGGCTGGCGTGTGCGCCCCGCGTC